TAGCATGTAATAAAGTAATTGAAGAATCATCAGTTAAATTTAATGAATCTTTAAAAGGTAGTTGTCATATGGGAAAAAATGAAACCGTAGAAACTTGGGACATTGAAGAGTTAAAAGGAATTTCATGGATGGAAAACGAAGTAGATCTAAGAACAAAAAAAGTGAAAACCCACACCTCGAATTTGTTGTTACAAAAAATACTCAAGCAAGCGAATATACTGACTCGTCAAATTTCAAAATCACCGACATCAAATTTTGTAGAGGGGGCCCGATGATAGAGGGAATAAAATCCAAACGTCTGATAGCTATGAAAAAAATAACAAAAATGGAAATGCAATACCAATAAAAGCTCCAATCAAAGCAACTATCATCAAATACAATCACTAATGTTCTGAATGATTTTTTAGAAGCAAAAAAATAGTGCTACTTGGTATGACTGGAAATCAGCAATGGAAAATAAATTAGATTCATTACATAAACACAAAGTGTGGGAAATAGTAGAAAGGCATGAGAAAACAAAATTAATAAAAAGTAAATGGGTGTATACTTTGAAGGAAGGAGATTCTAGAGAAGTAAAATATAAAGCGAGATTAGTAGCGGATGGATTTAATGAAATAACAAATAAGGATTATACCGAATGATATTCACCACTTGTTAACATGGAATGTTTTAGATTTTTCCTTACACTTTCAGCGAAATTAAATTTGACTGTTAAATTTTATTGTGTAAAAACTGCATACTTGTATAGTGACTTAAATGAGGATATATATATGACTCCTCCACCTGGTTATGAAAGCTTGATAGGAAAAGGAAAAGTATGTGAATTAAGGCAAAGTATTTATTGGTTGCCTCAGTTGGGTAGAAATTAGTATATTAAAAACTGAATTAGAAAAACTTGTATTCATACAAACTAGCATTTGATAATTGTATATTCATTTATAATGGGGTCCACCAGTGGCCGAGCGGTAAAGACGCTGAACACTGGTAGTTCAGTCCGATGTTCGAATCCCGCGAACGGGCTGGCTGCATGGGTGTTTTTGTGGTTTTTCCCCAAATGTAACGTGTATACGAGCCAGTTTCCCTTAGAAAGTCCTCCACGAAGGCATCCCTCCCTTTAGGCAGATAGCCCTAATTTTTAGCTGTATTTTGTAGTAATAAAGAAATGCTTGAAAGAGTCTTATAATTGGGTATTTTAATAAATGAAATTCCAGGATGAGAAGGAGGAGTTTATTTATCATGCTAATACAGAATAATTATACTATTTAAATAGTAAATGAATCACGCATGTACTTATCATACATATAAACTGCATAACTGCTGTTGATTATAATAGTTATATCTTGTTGAGCAATTTCAGTGTAGCCCTGCATCCATATATCATTAATCTTTCCAACTTCTTACATTCAACAGGGTCTTATTTTTGAGCAAACACAGTTTTTTTCAACTTTCTTTGATGCAGTACTTATGAAGTGATATATTAATATTAAGTAACTAATTTGTTACTGAGTTTACTGTTGACTTTTTATCCCCGTATTATTTAAGTTGTGCATTTACGTAAAATTCGATATCACGAATAAGAGCATTATGTAAAATTTTGCCATAACAAACATACCATATAATTAAGAGGCTAGGTATACCAATGCCAGATGTAGAGAGGCGTCCATTGTTGTTAAAGTCAGGATAACAGTTTATTAAAATTTATACATATATATATATATATATATATGTATGTAAAGAAACATAATAATAGGCTAAAAATTAAAGACAAAATTTTTTAAACTTGTCCTGTGCTATAGCTGCAGAATTGAAGTAAAATAAACTTAAAGCATCTAAAGTTAATATAAAATTGGAATCAAGGCAATTTCTCAAGAATATTAATAATTGTAACCATGTATAAGATGTTTAACACAATATCTAAACAAATCAAAATTGAAATAAGAATTTATGGTAGAACAAACTCAAAAAATAAAAATGTGAAAGGAAAAATATACAAAATTATAAAAATTAATCTCCCTTTAGTAAAACTCCAATTCAGAACTCATCAGGGGAAAATAAATTAAAGCTTCAGAAAAGTCAATTAATATGTTTCAAAAACATGTTTCGTTCTGCTGGTTCATTTGAGATCAAAAACCAAAGATTCAAGTAAATTTTCAATTAAGACATTAAAATTCATATAAAACCAAAAAAAAATTTTTTTTTAATGTACCAGAATTTTCCCTACACGCTTTGGAAACACTTAGAAAAATAGAATAAAACATAACATTGTGCCAAATTGACTACTTAAAAAAAAAAAAAAAAAAAAAAAAAAAAAAAAAAAAAAAACCCAAAACTTAACTTTATGAAAATTGACCACTCAAAAACACAAATTGGTCGAAAATCATTATATGCAAAATTGAAATATATCTGGGGTGTATCAGTACAGCATTGAGAAACTTTTCAGGAGAGACAGAGGACACCTAGACATTGGGAAATCACATAGCAATGCATGGCTTGAAACGCTTTCCTGGCACAGTAGTGACGACACAAAAATCAATAGCATAAAAAAACAATGATCGTCATGAAAGAAGATGTTCAAAATTATGACCCAGACTGTCATGCAGGAACCGTCCGTCATGCATCTTCATGCGATCTTCCATGCACTGGAAAAGTGAGGCCTGCATCATGGTCTGAGATCATAGTTTCAAACACTTTCTTTTGCTGAACTAAACATTATAAAACATGTTTTGTCTCACTGTTTGTATCCTTCCTTTTTTTACATTTTGTGTTGTCACTACTGTGCCAGGAAAGCATTTCAGGCCATGCATTGCTATGTGATTTCCCATCGTCTGGGTGTACTTTGTCTCTTCTAAAATTTTGTCACCTCTGTACTTTTACACCTTGTGCAACTTCCCCTTGATAAGTCTGTCTCCTGCCTGCTCAACAGTCATTCACTTATGCATTTTTTAAAAAAATTTTTAGATTAATTTTAATTTGCTAAATTGTAGAATTTATTTTCATGGTTTGGTTTTGCACTTGATTTACTTATGCTATCTGAATTTAAATGATATTGTAGAGTAGTTCGAAAATTAAATCTTTTATATTTGCACATTTTTTAATTTTTAAAATTATTTTAACTTTAAATTTGCTTTTTTACGTACATACTGTTTGCTAAAATTTAAATTTGTTTAAATTAAAATTTCATTCCTTGCAGCAATGGCACAAAGAATTAATTAAATTTGTATTTAAATTAAATTTATTTAAATTCAATTTATTCTTTTGAAACAATTTTGTGTATATATATATATACAAAATTGTATATATATATATATATATACAGTCAAAAGTCTTTAATCCAGACTCGTCGAGACTTCGGCGATTCCGGATTATCGATTTTTCTGGATTATAGATCATCAGTTTAAATCTGGTAAGATGGCATGCAGAAATTATAAAATTAAAAATATGAAACCGTAATTTATGAAATAAAGAGCAATTATGATGTAAAGGGTATCAATATTTACAAAAAAAAAAAGCTTAATATTTATTTGTTTACTTTATTAAACATTTGTTTCAATGCGTGCATGCATAAAGCATACATTACACATAGTCGAAATTAGAAAATTGCAACCAGAAAACTATTTGATGTGTATTAATGATATTTATAATGACGAGGAATTTGATTTAAATTATATCAAAGACGGAGTATATCAAGATGAAATACTACATTTAGTAAGGAATTATAAGCCGAATAAAATAAAAACACATCTGCCCTGAAGATAAGGCTAGTGCTGACAGATCAACTGCCAGTTCATTGCGCGCCGTGACTTCCCCCCCCCCGCAGAGCAGCATGAAATTGATAAACAGATTTCGGAATGGTTAGAGAAACAAAGGATATGCCTTTATCCATTTTTTGCAGCAATTCCACTTTTTGTTTGATGGACATCGAAACATGCTTTCGCTTTGTAGATCCTTTGGCAGCTCCAGAATCGGAAATTCTTTTTGATGTAATCGAAAGTTCAAGCTTACTTTTATAAAATTGCTCTAACAGTCTGCAAAAAATAATAAGCCAGATCCAATTCAAAGATTAAGGAACAATGCAATTTGGAACATTAACTGATATAGATAATTTTAGCTTAGCTTATACCATCCGTTATACATTAAATGTGCATGCGTAAACGTATTATGCGCATGCGTAAGGCGTTTATGCACGTGCAGAAAGTTTGTAGCTTTGAGGTCCGGATTAAAGACTTTTGACTGTACATATATATATATGCTGTCCCTTAATTCAACATTGAGCTACATGGGGCCCCACTAAATATGCTAAGATTGATGGGATGCAAAATTTGTTAAAATATCAATTTAAATATTTTGAAAAATTTGTCTCTTTAGTGCTAATGTCATACCTGATAAATTTTACACCTTTGGTACTAATATCGTGGAGTGGTATCAAAGACACCTTCTATAAAAATGCTAAAACATAACTTCATTTGGCAAGAATTTACCTTTCTGAAATGACATCTCTTCTGATCAGGTGTCTTTGTGTGAGGAACACACACCTGTATAACACAAAATCAATTTTATATGAAAGTGAAAGATAGTATATATAGATATCCAAATAAGATTTTTTTCATATATTTTTCATAAATACAAAAAAAAAAAAAAAAAAATATTTTCTGATAAGTACCTTAAAAAAGACCAAAATCGTGTCTGGAATTTTAATCAAATTGCTAAAATTTTTTAAAAGCAAATAAAATTCTAATGGTGTAATCAGATGATATTATCATGCATTTGGTGATTTCAGATTAATAGCCATATGGTTTCATTTTGAAATGAATCAACATATTTATGCATTCTTGATTGTGATTGATTCTTGTATTCCAGTTGATGATTAGAGGCACTCTTTCTTTTGTAATTTATATTGTTTGTGCAATATTTTATGTATGTTAATTAGATGTATGTTAATAGTGTGTATATTAATCTATGTGTGTGTATCTGTAAGAAATATGAATTCATGAACTTTGATTTCAGGATAATTTTTGTTCCCAAAAATGAAGATGCTTTTAAGCCTTAGTGTGATTTTGGATATTTTTGGCACATTAGTGATATCAGAAAGTAGTACTGATACTACACTCAAAGTAGACAAGACATCTGTGGTGAAAGGAAAACAAGAAACTCTGCCTCCTTGCCAAGCTTGCCGTTTACTAGCAAATTCATTTAAGAAGGTAATTGTTACTTTTTGTTTGCTTTCATTATTCCACCAATTGAAATTATCCAAAAAGTAACAAGCAAGTAATAATTTCATTTTTAAATGGATAGCTAAAGAAAAATTAAAAAAAATTTAAAAAATTACAAGTTGTGAACATGTGAATAAGAACTGTGGTTTAGTCAGCAAATAGTAAATGACGCTACATATATGTATTTTAAATAACCTTCCCGTAAAAAAGAATGCAATATCAGAGTTTTTTTAAATTGTTAAGATTTGATTTAATTTGCATCCTTGTTAAGAATAAGTATGCTTATTTATTTTAGAGAAACTTGTTTCTCTTGATTTCCTGTCGATTGTTATCTCAGAGGATTTTTGATCATTTGGTACAGGAACATCACATTAAAATTAGTTTCTTTAAAATATAAGCAGAGTTATTTGTGTCATAAGTCTTTGACTATTTTATGAGTTAGAAACATCAGATTATGACTATGTTTGTGCAATATGCATCTGAAATTGGTATTAACTTCATAATCTTACTTTTCTTCATTTTATATATACCAGTAATCATACAGCATGAAACAAAAGGGGTTAATTTTCATGTTCTCTGAATAACAGTGTGTACAGTATATTCCAGAGTATTAACAAATAAGATTCTTGGCTGATAATAAGTTAGATATTCAGCAGAACACATACTTCCATTACATTTTTTGAGAGGATATCAGATATTTATATTATTCATAGGGGGAAAAAAAGCAGTCATGTAGCTAACTTGTTATGTTCAAATAACTCAGGATAAGATGACAAATAATTTTGTTGTTTTAACCATTTTGCTACCAATGGGCTGTGTACAAAGTACTGCTTTTACTCTTGAATCTGTCAAAAATGAAATTTTTATAACTTCATTTTATTCAGATTTAGTATAAAACACATCAGTATTAGAAATATGAAATGATTTGCATGTTGTACTTGATAATATATTTATTGCATAATGTATCTTATGTATGATAAAGATATGCATTGCATAATATATCTTATTTATATACTTTGCTTTTAAATTGCTTTATTTTCATTCTGTCGCTAATTTCTGTTAGGGCTTTCATGTTTAACTTGGATCAGTGATTGAAAAAGTAGATTGGTTATATGCTTGCAAAGTAAGTTGTTGTTCAAAATAATCCCTCCTCTCAGTTAAAGTGTATCTTTCCCTGCATTCTGGAAACTATTTTAGTCCTTCTGTAGCAAAAATGTTTGGTTAGATGCATTTGTTGATACTGGGAAACAGATGCCTAATCTGGACATTAACAGGCATGTAGCTGCAAGTTGTACTATTGCATGTATGATAGACATGCCATATATGGAATGGTACAACTATTCTATACATGGCAACAACAGCCAGGCATATTTATTCTTTTTGTCTGTAAAGCTAATCAAAATTTTGGAGCTTGAGATCTCTTCTTTCACTAAAAAACCACACTATGATTGTTTGTTCCATGGAGTAAGGGAATCCCTACACTTGCACATCACTTTCTTAGCATTACACACAACTGATTAGATCAATTTCTCACTTCATTGTATGTAAAATATGGTGTTTCCAATATTCAAGATTGCTGTACAAGAAGTCAATGCCTCCCCCCCCTCTGAAAAAAAATCCAACAGTGTATATGATATTTGAATGTTAGCTTATTAGATGATCTAATTAATAAAATTCATCTTTTGAGCTTAGTTACCTATTTCAGCCAACCCCTTTTGGGTTGGTATTTCGTTTTGGCATTAGTCAATTACTCCAAAAGTTTAATGTCTAGTACTGAAACTTGATACTCTGTACTTGATACTGAGTACAGAGTACCAAGTTTCACTGAATACAGAGTATCAAGAGTGCAAAAGGAGTTGCAAGAAAATGAGTAATTTTTAATTTTGAACCAATTATGTGTAATAAACCTAGTGATTAATTACAAATTATGTGCCGGTTTTTGTGACATAATCTTATCAAATATTGCAGAATATAATAATTTCTAATTTATGCATTTAATTTAGTGCCAAAAATATGTTTAGAATGCAACTGGAAATTTTGAAGCCTTCAGAATTGGATGATCCATTTAATTTTTCTTGCATGACATTGCCAAACTGATAATTTGAGAAACTGAATGAAATTTCCACATTGATAGTTTGAGAAACTGAATGAAAATCTAAGTTTATGAGCAAGATTATATCCTTGTTTCAAAGCAGCCTTGGTAATATGCTGATTAGAATAAGTAGGCAGATTCCCATTCCATGTGCAAGATTCAGAGTCCAACCCACATTTAGTTTGGGTATGAATTCCTGGAATGGCATAGGCATTTGTTACAGTAATGTGTTTGAGGCATGAGGATACTTAAAATCTGTCATGCTGAAAATTTTATAGTGAAGTTGGATAGAAGATGCTCAGAATCCAACCCCTGCAAGCTCCTTGTTCAAAATTAGGATGGAACTTAAGCTGAAAGTCCTCGTGTACTTTACTTAACTCAATAATCCTATCTTCATTAAAGATATTTGGGCTATGTTAAGAGATATTAACAGCTGTAGGTATCACTACATTAGGCAGTACTTGGATTTTCTTTTGTAAAATTTTATTTTAACTGCTTGGCTCTCAAGTTCAATAAAATATTTTAATGTGTTGCAAGATACTGTAATTGTATGTCAAATCAAATAGGAATGGCTCTAATGCAATGCCAAGAATATTTCTGATGAGTGTTACTGTCGTGTAAATAGCTTATATCAGTTTTATTCAAGTGTTTTTAAATCAACAAAATGGAATTTTAATGTCTTCAGACATCTGTATTCATAATTAGTATTTCAGTTTTTTTCATATTAAATATTTGCATTTTGATTAGGGAGTTTAAACTTTTAAGAAAAATTGCTTTATTCTTTCTCAAAACTTCATTGCTTTTAAGAAACACTAAACTCACTCACATTTAAAAATTATTTTTCCTCTCTTCTTGAAGAAGAGGGATATCATGTGTTTGTGTGTATTTATTTAAAACTAATGCATCTATGATTAAATTTTGAATTTTGTGTAATTTTAAGTATATGCTTTCTATCATGGAATAGTCTGAATTTATGTGCTGTACAGAATTTTCTGAATATATTTTTTATGTTGCAGCTGAAACCTAAATGATGGCCATATCTCAGTATTATTATTGAAACTGGGAAGAATTAATTTACTCAACTTCTACTTCTTGAATTTTGTTTCTTGAGTATTGCATTTCAAATTAAGAAGCATCAATTTAGGCAAAATGAAGTATGAAATTTCCCTCTTAAAAACAATGAACTTTTCTGTGTCATGCTGGATGTTGGTAGGCTTACACATTACTGAAACAAAATGCTACCCATAACTCAGAAGTAACTTCGTTTCTAGCAGTATGAAGAGAGACGAGTTTTTAGTAACTTTGTTAATAACTGGTGACACTAATGTTTTAAGTTTATTAATAGTTGGTTTTATGTTCTTTCTTTATGCCTTGTTTCATCACGTACTTGCTCAATCCTAAGGTTTATGCAAATTGTATGGCAAGTAGTATAGGTTAGATCTAGAATGAAATCGTATGTGTTATTGAGTAGAATTCTACCCATTGTGTTAATGCTTGTGTTATGAGACATACATCAGAGCAGAAGGTGGACACCTGATTTTAGTCACGTTTGGTAAGTGTAGAAAAGCTAGTTGTGGTTTTTTATCTGACATGACTGTGCTGTACTTTTGCATGTGGTTTTCTTGCGTTATAATGCAGCTAATGTAATCAGTCATTTGTAACCCAATCAGTTAGTATCAAACTGTTGTTGATAAGAAATTGAAATATTTATGCTATAATATAGTACCAAGTCCGAAATCTGAGCATCTAGTATTTAGAAGGTTTTAATACCTGGACAACAGCAATTAAATTTTTTTTTTTTTTTTTTTTTTTTTTTTTTTGAAAAGGGAAAAAGAATTAGATTTTGAGAATAACATCTCACTTAGTGTATGTTTAATGTTTCGTGCATACGCAGTAGACATTTTTTCATAATAAAGCATCTGGGGAATCCTAATTCTTTGTTTTACTTTCTAATACTAAATAAACTAAATAGAACTAATATAACTAAATAGAACTAATAGACTTAGAATAAATAAACTAAATAGAACTAATAGACTTAGAATAAATAAACTAAATAGAACTAATAGACTTAGAATAAATAAACACCACCATATTGGATGAAACACCATCATTTATTATCATAAATTCATATCATCAACAAATTGGCTCTTTAACTGGTTTTTTTTTTTTTTTTTTTTTTTTTTTTTTCAGTCTCAAACCAAAACATTCTACCTAAGTTCATTACTGATTTTAGACTACTGAATAACATATATCCCTGATGCCAGCCTGACAAATTATTTTTTTATTATTTTTGGTTTTCATCACTACATGACTATTAACTCTTGGCAGCTTCAGGAATGACTCACTCAGCAATGCCTAAAATTTTTTTAAAAAAATAAAAGTAATTAAATACCAAATGGCATTCTAACATGTTATGTTGACGTTGCGCTTGCCGATGAGTACAATCTTAGCCAACTGCACTGCGAAGTGTTAGAAATTAAACAGAAATTTCTTTCCATATGAAAAAAAAAATCATAACTGATATTCATAGGCCAAAAGACAACATTTAATGCTGTGTGAATTAAGAATAATGCATTTGTTGTTCTGATAATCCTTAAGTATATATGGGAATTTATTTATTTGGAACTCAGATAAACTTTAAGTTTATGCGAAAAACAGGTATAAGTATTATGAATAACTAAAGTAGTATAATTTAGGCTGAATTTCCTCAACACACAGCAGAAGCAAGAACAAATTTAGAAAAATCTCGTCTTTCATCACCACTCTTGTGAGATATCGCCAGTAAAATTTAGTGGACAATAGCTAAGCTTTATGATGATAACTGCGTACTTGAAGGTTTTTCAAATATTATAAACAATAAGCTAAATTTTCCAATTTATGGAATTTGTGAAGAAAA